AAAAAAAAAAACCCTTCCGCCGTTTCAGGGCCTAAGGCCTCAACCCTTAAAGCCCTAAACCCTAAACCCTAAACCCTAACCGGAAAGCCTGAGCCCCTTGTTCTTGAATCTGCAGAGTCCCGCAGGAATGAGAACGATGGTCCCGTCTGCACTTTCGTCAAAGGAGGATTGACAGGCCCGTCCGGCGGGGGGAGGTGGTGCCGACTGCTGATACGTTGATGATATAAATCCTGCATTACCTTAAGGACCCTAAACCATGGGAATTATGGTATCTTCCCTAATATGGGTAATGCAGGATTTATATGTCATCAACCGTAGGGTTGTGGGGCTTGTGCTCCGTGTTGTAGCATTGTGGCCGGGGTTTTGCTGCTCCTTTTGAGTCGTCTTCCTACCAGCTCCGGCCCTTGTGATTGTGACGATGCTAAGAATTTCGCTCGTGATGATGCTGATGATGATGCGGCGGCGAAGATGATTGCCACGACTCTGACGCTGAGAGCTTTGCTGTTGATGAAGTCGGTGCAGATTATACCGATGGTGGTGACGACATTGCCCAAGTATTGAGTAATCCTTCTCGGCATCAAAAGCACGAGCAGGAGTTCGACGATGACGATGATGATGAGGATGAGGAGGGTGATGATGATGATGAGGAGGAGGAGGCCGAGGCTTGTGCTCATGCTCATGCTAGTGCGGTTGGGGATGGTGACGGTGATGGTTGTAATGTTTAACATAGATGTATTTGGAACTGTGTTGACGTAGATGCACTGGAAGGCATAAGGATGGATAAGGATGTTCTGAGACGGTGGCAATTGTCGTGACGATGATGAGATGTAGGCAGCGGAGAACGAGACTGAGGGGTCAGGCCTTTCCGTTCATGAGCAGGGTTTCAGCATTTCGGGGTTTAGAGTTTAGGGCTGTGGGTTTAGGGTTGAGTTGCATGTCAACATCCTCCACCTGTGTTGTCCTTCGTCCGGCTTCCGCTGGCCCTGAATCTGCTGCAGATTGCCGCTGGAGGATGCAGGTAAGGCTTCTGCTTCAGGCTGTACCCATAGTCTCCATTGTAGCTCCTTTTTTGGTTAGCCAGCTCTAGGAGTGCGGACCCCGGATGGGGTTAAGGGCTTAGGAGTAAACTTATTCTAATTTTATTTCTCCAGGCCCTAAATAAATGCATGCGGTATTGTCGAAGGCTTCATCGAGGCGATAATCTGCTACCCGACGGAGTTTGTCAAAACACAGCACCCTGGCTGCGACTGGACATTTGTTGCATCTAAGGTTAGAAGTATGGCCCCGTGATATGGAACCTTAGGCCTTTCTAGGGGACCGTGAAAGGTACATATAGTGTTTATAGCAAGTGTGTAAGGATCGAAGGGGTTAAGGGCCCATACTAGGGGCCCATGGCTTGATTTAAGCCGCTTCTGTAGGGGACAGCATATGGCTAAGCTGGAGAGAGCCGCGCTTGGCCCCAAGTCCACAACAGAGCTGCGGAAAGAGTGTGGTCGAGTCAACGTCGTTCCAACTCCGGTAGATGAAAGTGAAGTTCTGTAGCACCAGTAGATGCTCCTTCCAACCTTCGTAGCCGGATTGCTTTAAGGATTCACATAAGGGTTCCCATAAAGGCTCCTGCAAGAGTTGCATTGAAGGCCCTGATAAGGTCTGATTTTTGTTGAGGGTTCCTTGCCCAACAATAAACCCTAAACCCTAAACTCCTGCTTCCTGGTTGGAACAGAGATGGGGTTAAGTTGTTGCTTTTGTTGGGACGTTGGCCTGTCTGAAACCCGTGGGCCCACCCTAACTCAGTCAAGCGGCTTCGGGTCTGAAGCGTTCAGGGTTTGGGGTTTCGGTGTAGGGCAGAGTTCGAGGGTTTGGGGTTTCGGGCTTTTTGGTTTTCGGTGTAGGGCAGAGTTGGAGGGTTTAGGGTTTAGGGTGTTCGGTGTAGGGCAGAGTTGGGGGATTCCATGCCCTCATGTGTAAGTTTTTAAAGCCTCAGAGCTTACAGCTAAGCCGACGCAGTTGGCTTCGGAGCCTGTGTCTTGGAGATTCGGTTTTTAGGGCGTAGAGCTTTTATTGGGCTTAGCCTGGGGCCACATTGGCATCACCTTCGACCACATGGTATAGTGTAACAAATATTATGGTAGGACAAAACTACTATAGTCGCATTTTCGAGTACGGTATAGTGTAGTGTAGTATATGGTACAGTATTGCAGTGCAGTGTACTTGGTATGGTACAGTCGAGTGTAGCATAGTAAAGCAAAGCATAGTATAGTATAGTTTAATTTAGGATAGTATATAGTCTGGTGCAGTATAGTACGATATGGTATAGTGTGGTGTCACCCTCCGCTTCTTTCGATGATGGCCTTCAGATTTCGCGAAAGATGAGTTGTCTTTCAAAGCCGACGAAGAGCTGTGATCTCCGCCAGTTTAGGCTCGGCTTCACATCTCACTCCCACCCATCTTTACTGGGTTCTTGCTATATGGAACTCATTTCCATTGTTATGATAACTTAGATTAAACTCTTGAACAAGACTCCAGTAAACCAAGGCTCCAGCTGCAATCGAAGTCCAATCCGGAGTACACTGGCATGGTGGACTGCGCCAAGAAGACAGCCTCGTGGATGAAACACGGGTAGTTCTCTTGTCGTTATGTCCCTTTTAGGGCCCGCAACTGAGCGAGACACTCTTGCAATGCCGTCGGGGAGACCCGAAACTTTTGACAGGAACAGCGATTTCCTTTCAAAATGACCCTGAACCCGACACCCGAAACGACCCTAAACCCGGTCGAGCTTCCGATTGTGCCGAACTCCGTGTGCTCTGGAAACAAAAATGTTTTCCTGAACCCTCCGCGCTGAGACGCTACGTCACAGCTTCATTCAAGCTACATCAGCAGGTAGAACCCTATAGAGCCGTAGAGCCAATCCCTTCCCCCTTTTGTCAAACGCTACGCTGGGTGGCAGCACGAACGACAGCAAGAGCTAGTGCAGGAGCAAGAGCGGAGGGAAGAGCAGGAGCACGAGCAGGAGAACAGCGGCAGCAAGAGCAAGAGCAAGAGCAAGATCCCCCAACAGTGTCAGTAGATGTCAGTAGAGCAAAAGTCTCCCACGGACATCAAAGAACACTTTTTGAACTTGTATTGGTGAAGGGAGTCCTCGTTTAAAACATTAGGCGGAAAGGACACATGAAGTTTAAGCCCTTTCTTTCAGAGGTTGCGAAGCATGGCCCAACGGGCCTCTATCGCGGGGCATTACCCCTGATCTTGGGCTCTTCGGGCAAGCAGGCGGCACGCTGGACAGGCGTGGGCCGGCTAGAACGAGGGTTTACGGCTTGATCTGGTTTTTGTTTTAGGGTTTAGGGTTTGTTAGGGTTGAGGGTTTAAGACGTTCGGAGCTCTAGGGTTTAGGGTTTTTTCGGTTGTCGGGTTTAGGGGTTTTGAGCTCAGAGCTTGTATAAAGCTTGCAGGGTTTGGGGTTTTGGGGCTTAGGATTTGGCGTTCGGGGTTCGGTTGAGGATGCGAGTGCGGCGGGATTCTCCAAAACCCGCCGAATTGCGGAATATGCCTGAAATTAGAAAGTTTTAAAGGATTCGCCTACTACTGGAGGAATCAGGAATTCTCCTTGATAAGGGTTATTCCTTCATTAAATCGCACTGAGGATGCCCCTATGCTGTCTTAGCTGGGCAAGGGGAGCTTGAAGGACTGGCTGGCTTCAGACAGAAGACGAAAGAACTTTAGGGGACCAGATAGGGTGCTTATGAATGAGAGTTGTGTGAGAGGGGCCTTAGTAATTCAATTTCGGCATATACAATATACTGCAGGGATTGCTGTTGCTCGGCATGGTCCCTGGTCAGATCCGTCCGGTCTGTGGAATCCAAAGAATGCCGCAAGTTTAGTTTAGGAAAACGGTTGAGTGTTATGTTGGCCGCTGATTAAAAAACCCCTTTTGCTTCAGGCCCTCGTCAAGCATGCGTGTTTAAATTCTGATCCGGCAGTCTACAATATCGTAGTGCCACGCTTGAGCCGTGACCGTTACCGGGCTGGGGGTTCGCTAGCTAGTACCAGTTTGAACCCTGTGCAGCTTGGAAGAAACACGGTTCCTTGAGAGGGAAGGCGCCACCCATATGCGGTGTGGAGTGTTCGACCTTAGGGGGCTTTAGTGCCCTGGCAGTCACTCTGCAGGGTTTGATCGTACATGCTTCGCCGCGTCGTCCGCCCCGGCCCAGTCGCAGGTGAAGAGTGCCCCATAATTACCCATAGGCTCCAAAGTAGTTCCTTTTGGGGATTACCTTACAAGATCCTAGATATGAACCACAAACTATGGGTAGCAGGTTCAGAGTGCACAAGATGAGGAATGTGGGAGCGGGTGGGGGAAAGACACGACACGAGCAGTCCTTCGGTTATTTTGAGCACGGCAGGGCGGGTTGGAAAGACGAGGCGAATAAGCAGACAGACGCTATAGCAGATAGCACCCTCCTTAGATAGCCAACAAGAGAACTTCAAACTTTTTGGCCTGGTATATTATGTCTATCCTAAAGAGTTTGAACTTTTTTGGGCCTGGTCGTTGAAGAAGAGAGTCTCTTCATGCCCTTGGTGATGATTGCAGCAATGCTGTACGAGAAAGCTCTGGTTGAGATGCCGATCATGGCCATCAGCAGGAACATCGCCATGGTCATCAGGACTCATGATCATAGTTTTGGCGGTGGTTATGATAAGCCTCATGATGGTGAGAATCGCGGCTAAGGAAGCTCATGGTGCCTTCGGGCATGATGATGGTTTTTGCCAGGGGTAGTTGGCGCAGTAATCGTTGAAGGATCGGCCTAATCAGTAGCCGTCGATTGACCATCGGCAATGGCTCCCCAACCTTATCGAAGCGAGAAATCCTCAACAGCTTGAAGACTAGTCTTCCGCCCGGGTTCAGGATTGAGGTCTCTGACTACACTCAAAACCCTATAAACCTGAATGTCAAGCTTGGTACACCCGGTGCCTAGGGAGGCAAGAAAGGGTCGAGCTTGGAGGTGCAGGATAGCGGAATCCGGGCTCTCGTGATTTCCTGTGAGCTGCTGGAGATCTTTGCTCAAGAACCCGTTTTCTTCAACACCATGGAATTCCTAGCATTCTCGATCTTGAGCCCGTCTGGTTTGGAAGCAGGCTATGAAACCACCGCCAACGCTCTCAAGGACCCGAGTCGATAAACTGTGTTTGCGCATGGTTGGGGGCCGGAGGGGCTCTAGCTCAACTGCAGAGACCAGCAGCAGCTGCACCATTGTCAGCAGTAACAGACAATGGGGTTTGGGCAAAACTACTACTTTTACCTGCTATCATTATTGATGTTGTTAGTACTGTGGTATATTTCTATTGTTAGTAGAACTACAAGTACCCTCAGCAACACCACGACTACTACCATTTCAACTCATCCCAAACCTCTATTGTGGATATGCCAGTTTCGATGTTATCGAAAGCCAGCGTTGGCTGTAGTTTTTGCAGTCATGAATGCCGCCACAGCTCTATGGATTCCTTCTGGGAAACCATAAAGTGTAGTCGAAAGGATGTAAGCACGGACAGTTGAATCCTATTGTGGTGCCTTTGTATTCTGGATGCCTCAGTCACGGCTGAGCCACCTCCTCCGATAAGTGCGAGACCCCGGCTCCAGCCCAGCGCCTAGCCTAAACCTGCGAACCCTGAAACCCCGCAACCCTGGAAGCCCTAGATCCTTTTGAAAACCTACACCCCAGACCCAAACCCTGAACACAAAACAAGCTCGAGAACATGAAGGATGAACAGGGCAAGCTCACGATCCCGAAGCGCATGTTGGCCGGTGCCTGCGGTGGTATCTCTGAGGCCGGGAGGGAGGGTGGAGCATGACAGTATAAGAGTGCGTGTTTCAACCAGACGAGGTATAGTATAGTAGTATGAACGGACTGCAGAGGTCATTTAACAGAAGCTGCCTGCTACATGGTGTCTAGGTTCGGGGGCCATCTTGGCCGAATGTCCTATCCGTGTGGGCATCGGCATCGGGATGAATGCGATGGGTCCGGGTATGTAGGTGTTCTCTGTACGCATGTTTGAAGGGGTGTGTGTATGTGTGTATACTATATACAGATAAAATGTATTCCTGCATGTATGCTTGAAGGCTTGCTTGCCAAAGGTGAACCTAGCAACAGTTCAACACCAACATGTCCTTCCATAGTCCTATGTATCTATACAGGCTGGTATGTATATTTGCAAATGCATTTTGAGAGAGAGAACGAGAGGTTCAACGGGGTGTGCCAGTGTTTTTCCTGCAGTCCATCTTGCGTGGTGTGTTTGTGTGTGCATCGAACAGCTAGCCACAGAGAAATTTCCTAGCTGCATGACTGAAGTAGGTGTCTCAGCATGTTCACCCTTTGCCTTCCTTCTTCTCTCCAGAATCACTCCCTGCCAGCAGTGCGGATGCATGCGCCCATGCGATACTTGCAGCGCGTGCAGTAGGCATTTTCTGGTTTCCTGCGTATATACTGTGTAGGTTGTATTGTACTCTACGTGTTGCTGGTTGCAAAGACCTTCAGAAAGACATTTCTTCCAATCCAAATAACTACATTGCGAGTGCGTGGGTGTGTAGGACGCACGTGCAGCTGTCCCTGGGTGGGCCTGGAGACACTCGTAGCTAAACCCTAAACCCTGAGCCCGTGAATCTTGTTCGTTTGGTCGGATTCTCAAAAGCTGCAGCTGAATGTCCGCTGGTGGGATTCGGATTCTCCCCGAAACTATGTAAGCGTACTTCACCAAGAGAGCAAGGTGCATGCGAGGTCATGTGGTCAATACATATCGGACTAGAACCCTCGCCGAAACCCCTTAAAACTTAAACCCTTGCCCTAGCATCGTCCTCAACCAGCTCGGCAGGGTCGAAATTTCCGACACCTGCGCTCTTTAGGCCATCTTTGCCGTCACACCCATCGAGACATTGAAGACTCGCGTGACGGACGACATGCGCCGAGGTGCCCGGTTCGGGGAACTTCGCGCTCTAGAGGTTTTCGGGGCAACAAGGCTTGAAGGGTTTACGAGTCGGCTCTGTGGGGCACCTTGCTGTCGCGAGGAAGGCGGTTCTGTTGCCGATAGAAAGACGGCTAAAGACGGCTGCGAGGATCTCAACGAATGAGGCGCCCAGACCTGGAAGCTCGCACACTAAACTTCAAGCCCCGAGCTGTCTACCTAACCCTAAAGCCCTGAGTCTTCTATCGCATCAGCTGCTGCTTGATGCGTGGATGGTCTGTTTCGGCATTGAGGCTTTCTATCACCCTCTACAGTTCGGACACTCCAGACAGATGGTCGCTTATAACCTATAAAAAGCTCTAAAAATACCCTTGTGCAACCCTCGTAGTACCTTGGCAAAGGCCTTATCTTGCCCGTATGTAGAAGACCCTTCTAAACTATAATAAAGCACCCTGTAACACTCACTTTCTAAAGCCCTCTAAGAGGCACTGGCAACTACTCTGGATCTTTCGATGCCTTGGTGAAGATTCTGAAGAACGAAGGCGGGACTTTTTTGCGTGCACTTTGACCCATAGGCTCAAAAAACCCTTAAGTAAGTAATATACCTTATTCAATCATATTCGGTTGTTTCCTAGTACTATTTGAGGCTTAAGTAAGGAGTGTTGGAGTCTCTGGGGAATTGAGTCGATCTCCAGGAGGGCCATGAGTACGTAGAAATCTGGACCGCTCGGACGTAAGACCAGACCACCGGGACGATCTAAAGCATAGAGCCCTTGAAAGAGGGCCTGTATCCTGACCTGCTATAGTACTATAGTGTAAGGACACCTTTTTATTGGAGGCGCGGGGTTCACTGTAAGGGTGTAGGTTGTAGGATTTGTTGCACAGAGGGTGCGATTGTGAGACCTCCGGCGTGTTTGGCCGGTCCTGGGAAAATCTATAGAAGCCTGCATGGTTAGTAATACTGTTCCATGGTGTACTATAGCTTGGGTCCACATTGCCCCCACTCACTAACAGTTGAGTAATTTTCATAATCTAGATATATAAGGCCCCTAATAGTAGCCCGAGTAATTATAGACTGCTACTGTATGAAAGCAATGCCCAAACTATAGCATACCTTCAGCGGGCTTATGACTTCGAGCTTCGGGCTTCCAGGAGCGTTGCATGCGCTCTGGTTTGGGGAGTTTGAAAACTGACCTTCCGTTAAGGTTCATAATTTCGAGCTCAATGTTTGGATTCGGTTTAGGGCTTAGGGCTTAGGGTTTGGGCTCTGCAAATTCGATTGTCGGGTTTATGGCTTCGATCCGGGCAAGCTCGAGGCTTTCGAAGATGTTGTACATCTGCTCGCAGTGCAGGTCTTGGTTGATGTCGTGCTACAGGCTCTAGAGAGTGAAGTCCTGCGGGGGGACGGGGTTGTGCTTGTAACGTTTCGCGAGCCAGGGGAGGTGTCTGGCTTCTTGATCTGTCAATTCGAATCAGCACCGGATATCAACAAGCTGACGCGTCCTGGAACTAGCTTGTTTTCTCACATCTGCAATAGGAATACAGGTGTCGAACACCACCTACCTACAGAGTTGCGGGACACGAAGACAAAGACAAAGACGAAGAAAAAGAATCACACCGGGAGAGTGTTGCGGAGCGTTTTGGGGGCTAAGTAGGTGCACGAAAGTCAAGAATCTCCCACACAAAGACAAGTGATCAGACCAGAGGGTAGATTGCTTGTTGAATCAGATGGACTGGTGACAGGTTCGGAATATATAGGTTTTGAGGCATTTCTACGGGATCTCCTGTCTTGAAAGTTTCCATGTATCTTCTGCCCCCGCGCAGGGAGAGGCATGGTTCCCGTAGAAACCGTTTTGACAACTGGTGCCTCAAACGTTTCAAACACATCGGATGAGGAGGGCTTTCAAGGCTGGCGTCCCCATGTCGATCAACCAGCTCATGTATGTGGAAAGCCATGTTCATAATATTTTTCAATACTCATCAGAACACCATCATTTGAACAAGCAATTGAAACGACGCCAGCCGGCCAATCCATCGTTGCTAAGCATCATAGCTCGAAGAGCTTCTGGAAAGATAGTTCCTCGCACGGTGGTATACTTCCGAGTCAGGGTTTGACCTGTCACGAGTTTAGATTTAGTAGTTTCGATGTTGCTTTACTGTCTGAGGATTTAGAGGAGGGTTTTTTTTGCCAGGTTTAGTCTGGTGCTTGTCCGTTGTGAACATAAACCCCTCATGCGGCCTGTGCAGGGACCCTGATTGCACAAAGTAGGCCATGGTGATATAGAAGCCTAAATAATTTGCCAACATTGATCCTCAGGGCTCCTTATTGTTATTATACTATGAAGGAGCCCAAAACCCTAGTCTTATTAGTCTATATTATGAAGGAGCCGCAAACCTTATTCTAATCATGAAAGCCCCTACATTGGTTGAAAGCAGGCCCTACACGTCCCACCCCAAACCCTAAACCTCAGAAAACGAGGAAGCTTCAAGTACCAAACACGCACCTTCAAACCTAGAACACGGCTTTGCCTTCGCCCTAAACCACGCTTCGAGCATAAGGGGACTTAGGGTTTAGCGTTTAGGGTTCAGGGCTTAGCAAGTAAGGTGATAAGTACCCGTATCGGGCAGTAGGTTGGCAGTCTAGTCTGCAGCATTGCTGCCTGTTTTGTATAAACCCTAAGCTAGCTTGGCTACTAAGCCCCATGATCCTTAAACCCTACAGCCCGTACACTAAGCCTACACCCCAAACCTTAAACCCCGAACGTTAAGCCTCAAGCCTCAAGCCCTAAACTCTGTAAGCGGTAGTCATGGTTCAGGCCCTGCCGGCCTGTACATGGGCCTTGTCCCCACCATCGCAAAACAGGCGACGAATCAGGCGGTAGCTACGGCTTGAAAGATAAGAGTGTAGATTGGAGTTTCGGGATCTTGTGGATCTCTTAGGGCTTTTTTTTTGGGTTTTGGTTTCTTGGGGCTGGGGTTAGGGGGTGGCCTGCTGGGTGGAGCTCTGAGAGCCTTGTCTGCTCTCCAACCCTCCGAACCCTGATAACCCCAAGCCCTAAACCCTAAACCCTAAACCCTAGCTCAGGGTTGGAGCCTGTGCTAGCTAGCCTCGTAGGCTTAGGAAATCCGTGCGAAGACCCTAGTTTAGGGCTTAGGGTTTACATAACCCTCGGCCCTTCAGCTGGCAACCTTAGAATAAGGGATTAACCCTGAACCCTATAAGCTGTAAGCCCCAGAGCCTGACCAGAAAGTATACGTCCCCGAACCGCGGGAGTCACAAACTACGAAGCAGGATCTATTGAAAGCAGGGTCTATATTCGGGATGTGGTGAGTTTATACCAAGTTCTGTGTTGTTGACAACTTGGTGAGTGCATGCTCGGGGATACTGGTAAATACCAAGAGCCCCATGTCCCCTGGTCTTTGAGCCCCTTGCTCCTCGAACTCTAGATTCTAGATGATAAGTCTCGTAAAATCACGCAGTAGGCTACACAAGATGGGTTACTGGGCCCTTCGCCCTTCTAGAAAAAGGAACCCGAAGCTGCAATTCTTTCGATCTTCAAAGCACATCCTGTGACCCCTGACGGCTCGAGGGTCCTATATTGCAAGGGCATCGGGAACCCGAAACCCCACAGCCTAGGTACGCTTCCCTGTCCAGTTCTACGCGAAACAGCCCTTTGGCGGTGCAGTTGATGCCGGTCAAGACCCTAAACCCTAAACCCTGCGTAGGGTCAGGGTTTAAGGGCTTAGGGCTGGCGCTCGACCGGGGCTCAGACACTGACAGTCGTCAAAACAGGCTGTGAGTTGTTGTTATGGTTCGTACTAACAGTACTGATGGGGTATGGGAACAGTTGAGGTTGAGGTCATATTTCGGGAATGTTGCGTTTGGAGTGGTGTTGTGGGCGTATGCTTTCAGTCGTCGCCACTTTCACTCATCACTTAGTGTTTCTCTCTCTCTCTCTCTCTTGCTTGCGTCTCTGAGGTCTAGGAGATGCCTCTCTGAGAGTTCGTGTGTCAAGGCAGCCTTACAGTTTGGCCTCGTGTTGTTTGGGCCTTACAATAGTCTTTGACCAGAACCTTCAAGATATAGGCATCGGCCGATCACTACTCTACATCTCAAAATAAACCCTAAGGGTCCAAGTACCCAAATAGTAGGGAGTTACAAGGTCCAAAAACCATTCAGAGTATGGATTTTGAGACCTAAAACCTTACTAGTTGGGTACTCGGACCCTCTGGGAAATGCTAAGCCTCCGCAACAGCGCCCGAAAGCATTCAACACAGCCGTGACATCTGAGCCCGGAAGGTTCTTGACTGGCGGTGACAAGAGCTTGGACAGTTGCTTTCCTTATTCAGGGAGTCCCTTTGGAAAGGTGGATTTCGGCTTTAGGGCTATTGGTTCTGATGCCGGTTCCTCCCCCCCACCCCCCCATAACTTGAACCCTAAACCCGGGCCGGCTCGAGCGATTGTGCGAGTAGATACGCAGATACGCTAAGCCTTGAACCCTGAACCCTAAACCTTATACCCTAAACCGGCCCTTAACTCTAAACCCTAAACCTTCTACCCGAAACCCTCGATGCCAAACCCTATAGGCCGAGTTCGATTCAGTGTTGTTCGTCATAAACCCTATTAACTTAGGCAGCCAATGCGGGAACTTTAAACATTTTGGCCTTATCTAGTTTGGCCTATCTGCGAGAGTTTGAACTTTTCCGGGCCCGGTTATTATTTGAACAAGAGAGCGCTCCAAGAGACCTCTATGGATGCGGGGCTTAGGCGCAACTCAAAAAAGGGTTTAGGGTTTCACGGTTTAGGCTGTTTTTTAGGGTTTAGGGTTTAGGGTGGGCTTACCTTTCGGGTCATACCATACCCCTGTCTTGGGGCACCTACTTTTCTTTTGTAACAGACCCCGACCCTAAAGCGACGTACGCCCAGAAAAGGGTGCAGAGTATGACTCTCTGTGACTAACTCTAGGCTCAAACCGCAAAACCCATAAACCCCTAATGGGTTTAGGCCCTATAATAAGCCTTAGACAAAAACCTATGCCCTAATTTAAACAGAAAGCCTATATCCTAAACACAAGCCCTAAACCCTAAACCCCTAAACCTCTTCATCGCAGTGGAGGCGCGATGGAGCAATCATGGCACTGACTCCGATGAAGAACACGAGAGCTGGGTTACCCGACCGGGGGATCAAAATGCAAGCCAAGCCGCCAAGTGAGGGAGAGCTGCTGGCAGCAGTGCACGGCCACAGCTGTGCTCGTCTTCTGGGTGCACAGCACTGGGTGTCCTCCATCGCCGTTCTTATGGTCGACGAAGCTGCCCTGTGCAGAGCATGAGGCCATCTATGCAACCGACTTCATCAAGCGGCAGAATCATCGCGTGAAGGTGATCTTGGTCAGCGCGACAATGAACTCCACGACACTAAAGTGGTGTCACTGAGATCCATAACTAGATATTGCTGAGCTGCATAGATTTCGGTGAGGTGAAGACCCCGCCCAAATTTAGAGGTTCTCTACCTTTGGATTTGTGTTGTGATGGCGGTCTTGAGCTTGCGTTTCGTTTCACTTCTCAGCAGGCCTCGAACCAGATGCCTCGCCTGGATTGTCCGAGTGTGAGCGCCGAAACCTCTATAAAGTGATTAAGAGTTTGGGGGTTCTGGGCCCTAAGCCCTCAACCCCAACCCTAAACCCGAAACCCCTAAGCCCTAACCCCTCAACCCTAAGCCCTAAACCCTAAGCCCTAAACCCCAGGGAGTTTCATTGACTTTCGGCCCAGGGTGTCCCGGAGCTTTGGGCTTCAGCCTTGCCAGAAAAGATTGGTTACCTAAATACTGGCTTAATGGGCTTCAGACTATATGGCTGGTAACCTACTATATAGGTAGCTGGAGCCCTAGGGAAAGATTGGGGGTTGCAGGGTTGAGGGTTTAGGGTTTTGCGGGGTTTAGGGAGTAGGGGGTTTAGGGTTTAAGGTTTTGGGGGGTTTAGGGATTAGGGGGTTTAGGTTTTTAAGGTTTGGGGTTTAAGGTTTAGGGGGTTTCGGGCTTCGGGGGTTTAGGGTCTATGGTTTAGGGGGTTTAGGGGGTGTAGGGATCAGGAGGTTTAGAGTTTAAGGTTCGGGGTTTAGGGCTTAGAGCTTCCGGGGTTTAAGGCTTTGCTTTGGGGATTTGGGGCTCAGGGCTTAGGGGGTTTAGGGGGTTGAGGCTTAAGGAGTTCAGGGTGTTGGGGGTTTCGTCTGAAAGGGGACCAAGCAACGTGAAGCCTGTTAGTCTCAACCCCAACACTGCACCCCAAACCTTGCAAAGGCAACCCGATCTACAACGGAGTGGCCGGCGCTTTCGCCGGTGCCGTGTCCGTGTTGGCGACCATGCCTCAGGCATCTTGTCGTCACCAAGGGAGCTTGTTATTATGGTTACGCCTAGAGGGTTTTTGATTTAAGTAAGGCTTTGGGTTTCGAGTTCGGAGTTTAGGCCTTGAGGGTTCGATGTTGAGGATATTGTGTCTGTGCAGTTTGCCCAGGTGACAAACACGGAAACATAGTATGATTGCTTGATGGTGCCTCGAAGCCGCCGACCTGGGTGATATTGCGAGTGTAGCTCTGTAGGACTTGTCAGGTCTGCAGCGGCATCTCAAGGATTCACAACCGAAATAAGAAGAACAGCGACGGACAACTGCCGCAATCGGATGTCCAGAGATGAGTGCAGCGTTCAGAAGCATGTCAGGGATGCCGCGTAGCTGGCGGCAGCCTGAGAACTAGTCCTCGCTTTCTTTGCAAGTGCGCTGAACTATCGGTTTGATCCAAGTCCAAGTTCCTCAATCTTGTTAAAGGCTTTAGGGCTTAGGATTTAAGTTTAGTGTTTAAAGGCCTTCTTAGCACTTCAGCATTTCGGTATGACCCCGAAGCAGCTTGAACTGCCCGTCTACAGCAAACCCTGTACTGAACCCTTTCAAGAGATATAGATCTTAGAGTGTATTGGTGTAGGCACACCCCACACCCGCGATCGAAACCTTTAAACCCAAAGCTGATTCGAAGCTACCCTGCAGGACACGGTCAAAACCCGGATGCAGGGAGAAGAGGCACGCAAACTCTACAAGAGCACCCTGGAGCCTCCAGCTGCGTTGAGCTCCTCTCGTGTCGGGATTCAGAGATCACGGAAGGGGCTTAGCTCATACTTGGAGGCCCAGGGACTTAGTAAGTCGGTTATAAGTAGGGTTATAATTGGGGTAACTCCATTTAGGGTACTTATAACTCTACTTATAACCCACTTACTAAGTCCCCTGGGCCTCCTTATAGGCATTCGGGCTTGCATTCTCCGGTGAGGGGGGGCTGATACGAGCTCTGATCTTCAAGAACCTGCTGCTTTAGATATTGAAGGCTCATGATTCCGTTTACGGGGGTTACAGGATTTATAGGGGTATGGGTACTGTTTAGCGTGCAGAATGACTGAACGACTCTTCCCATACCCTTTGCGGACACATCAGGAGTTCCCAAAGCGCCCTTGCCTAGGGATCCTGCCGGTAAAACATCAAAACCAGGTTCGATGGCAGCTGTGTCCCAGAAGAGACCATGTCCGAGTTATATATAAGTGCCTAATGTAGGGGTCTTAATAATTAGGAAAGGGTTTGGGGTAGATTATATACTTATCATAAGGAGCCCCCAAAAGCCTATTCTAATT